TGAAGTTTGCTTGTGGAAATAGGTGTCAGAGGAGTTGTGGCTTGTGAGTTACTGTGAAGTGGTGGGAGAGTTATCTGAAATCAGACTCTGAAGGAAAATTCTAATGCTTAGATATGGACGGGTGTAACTCAAAATACACACAATGAACTGAGGTAGACGTGAGTATATTTTGTGCATTCCTATGTGACTTGATTCAGCTGAGTGTACTTTTCTGCTTTTACCTAGTGCTTCTGGCTGATAAAAATCACACTAAAGCAAATACAAAATTTGCTTTATGCTCAAATTCTTCTCTAATACATTAATTACAAAGGAATAGACAAGTATTATAGCAGTCCATATTTGATTATGCAAATGAATAAATTCTTTTTATGTTGTTGTTTAAAATAATCTCAGTTTTATTCCATAGTCTATATGAACAGTAATACATGGCTACTTAGTATTCAGTTACATAGTAAGACAATTTAAATCCCAAACTGGTTTTCTGCATCTCTTTTTTTTCCTGAATCTCTTAACAAATTTCTAGACTATCTTTCTCTACTTTTGGTTTTTGTATACTCAAAGATTGAAAGTCATTTCAATATTAATATCAAGAAAACATCATTAACAGGCACCTGGGCAGCTCAGTGATTGAGCATCTGCCTTTGGCTCAGGTCATGATCCCCAGGTCCTGGGATGGAGTCCTGCATGGGGCTCCCGGCAGGGAGCCTGCTTCTCCCTCTGCCTGTGTCTCTGCCTCTCTCTGTGTGTCTCTCATGAATGAATAGATGAAATCTTAGAAAAGAAAAGACAAGGAAAGACAAGAAAAGATCATTAAGAAGGTTATATGGACCCTAAAAAGACATAAAGATTCCAAAGCCAAATAGAAGTGATTTTTTTTAATACTTAACATCATAATCTACAACACAACTGACCTTTCAAACATAATCGAAGGTTGATTACAGAATTGTAGCTTGGACCTAAGAATTTTTGGCCATCAGAATTCTGATACTTCAAAATCCATAAAAACTCTCACAGAGATTGCAATATTAAATCAGTTCATGCCAATATTGTATCTCAAATCATCTAACTCTGTATATAAAAAGTTTTCCCCTGATTTATCACTTTAGCTCTTGTTTGTAAAAAAAAAAATTAAAGCTTACACTTGTGACAGTCTTGTTACTGATGCTCCCAGTGATTACCTGAGTTTGGAGCAAAATTGGCTTCAAGTATACTGCCAGTTTGTATTATTCTTGCCAAGAGAGTGAACATCCCATAGACAAATTGTTCCATACACTGGCTGTGACCTGTTGCCTTTGGAACTCCTAAGTAGAGTTTATGCTTTTCAGATAAGGAGACATAAAAAATTTTCCTCAACTCACTTTAGCCTCAGACCTGGGTAGTTTTTAAAGTCACTAGAAAGGAGCCAGGTAGGAAAAGGTTTTATTCTCATTCTTATCTCTATGTATGATTTTGTGGCATCATATGATTCTGTTGTGAAACTAATTCAAATAACCATTTAATATGCATGTACTTTCAGTTCTGGGGCACCTCAGAAAATAATATTCTATGGACCAAAGGTGGGTAAAATTTTCTGTAAAGAGCCTAATAGTAAATATTTTAGGGCCTTGTGGACCATACAGTCTCTGTCCCAACTACTCAACTCTAAAAGTAGACATACAGGGATCCCTGGGTGGTGGAGCGGTTTGGCGCCTGCCTTTGGCCCAGGGCGCGATCCTGGAGACCCGGGATCGAATCCCACATTGGGCTCCCAGTGCATGGAGCCTGCTTCTCCCTCTGCCTGTGTCTCTGCCTCTCTCTCTCTCTGCGACTATCATAAATAAATAAAAATATTTTTTAAAAAATAAAAGTAGACATACAATACATAGACAAAAAGGCCTGGCTGTGTTCCAATAAAACTTTACAGTAGTCCTCCTTTATCCCTGGGGAATATGTACCAAGACCCCCAGTGAAACTGAACCCTGCAGTGCCTGAAACTATAGATAGTACTGAACCCTATATATACTATGTTTTTTCCTATACGCACATACATATGATAAAGTTTAATTTATAAAATAGGCATAGTAGAAGACTAACAATAATAAAACAGAATAATTGTAACAATAGACTAATAAAAGTTATGTGAATGTGGTGAATATTGTACTGTACTCACCCTTCTTGTGGTGGTATGAAATGATAAAATGCCTATATGATGAGATAAAGGAAGGGAATTGATTTAGGTGTTCTGATGTACTGTTAGATGACATGTCAGAAGGAGCATCTGTTTCTGAACCACAGCTGATCTTGGGCAACTAAAACTGCAGAAAGCGAAACCATAGATAAGGAGGAATTGCTGTATTTACAAACACAGACAGTGGGACGGATTTGTCCAGTGTATCATAATTTGCCAATCCCTGCTTTGGACCAATAGCCTCCAATTTCTTTTAATGGCACTTTGGGGCAGTCTCTTTACGCTCAGGGACCTGAACTATTTCGGCTTCAACTGGTGCAGTAATTATTTTTATCATAAGTAGAATTTTACCTGAAATTAGATTTGATTAAAAAATTTCATTTCTAATAAAGGGAAAAACTTTAAAACTACTTCCTTGGACTAAATCTAAGCTTTAAAATTTTAGATGATTCAGGCAAAACATTCTTAAAAATGGTAACAGGTGATAGGGAGTAGGGGCCTGGCTGGCTCAGTTGGTGGAGTATGTGACTCTTGATCTCAGGGTCGTGAGTTCAAGCCCCGCGTTGGGTATAGAGATTACTTAGAAATAAAATCTTTTAAAAGAAATTATGAGGTGCACTTGGGTGGCTCAGTGGGTTGAGTATCTGACTTCTGGTTTGGGTTTTGGTCATGATCTCAGGGTCATGGGATCAAGTCTTGCATTAAGCCCCTGCCCCTTCCCTTACTCGTGCTTTCTTTCTCTAAAATAAATAAATCTGTTTTAAAAATTATGACGTGCAGCACACATATGCTTTGATGTTACCAGAAACTTACTTTCTCACATAGTAGATAAAAGCATTTAAACAGGCAACTTTAATAGCTCTAAAAATGTTATCTGCTTATAATTTCTCCACTTAGACTTTTTCTAAGCATAATGTTTAAGGTACCTTAAAAGGTCCAAGAGATAGAGGGAAAAAAAAAGAAGACCCAAGAGAGGTGATATGGTATAGTAACAAAAAGCACCAATTCAAGAATCCGTATTTGGATCCATTGCTAGATTGTGAGCTCCTGGAAGACAGGAACTAAATTATCTTCTTTGTCTTTTTTCTAAGTAATCTCTACATTCAAGGCGAGGTTCAAATTCAGGACCCCAAGATCAAGAGCCACATGCTCTACCAACTGAACCAGTCAGGCACCCCAACACCAAACTCAATTTTTAAGGCAAACATAAATTCACTATTAGATGACTAGGAAGAGAATAAATTCAGGGAGTTTGCTCTTTTCACAATCCATAAGGAAAATAAGCATATCTCTCCTTGTGAGCAACAAAAATAAAAAAGTTAGTATTTGGAGATACCGTTTTATACCTGGGAAATTAACATGTTTAAAACACATAAAAGCTAATAATTACTAGACTAACAAAAATCACATCCTCACAAGGACTCAGAAATTCCTTGCGTGCAATTCTGAAATCCAAAAAGCCCTGGAAACTGAAAATGTTTTGTATTTTTAGGAACTTATTTGACAGTCAAATTGATCCAACCTAAACTTATTTGGCAGTACTATCTAACCTGAACTGATGAGGCTATTTACTGGTATTCATTTACCCCGTATGAATAATCATACGGTTTGCTACAAAAAATATTACCATATTTGAACATGCAGTGTTTCCCCTGAATTCCCTGGGATGTTACAGAAGTTACAGTATATGGCATTTGGTTTTACTCACGCACGCCAGACAAAGCTAGATCTTTTTCCAGTTGCTTTACAAGGAGAAATTTAGAACCCCATTTTAGCCTCCAAGGCAAAGAGCCCAGAGCCAATTCAGTCTTTCCTGCTGCCATCTTGAGAAGTAGTTGAGGCTGAGCAAACAGTTCCCAGAGCCCGCCAGTCATGACGTCAACGGGAAACAAAAGCGTTTCAGCGACCACCTAGAAAGTCAACGTTACCACTTTTGTGGTCAATGATCCGTCAAGAAAGAACATCTTGGTCTTTCAAAAAGTACTTACCTATTTTTATCACTGAACATTGGACAATCTAGGGTCAGAATTAAGTTACTAGCTCTTAGCTCTGCCACAGTAGTATCTGTTCAATAAATATTTACCACTGACTGATCCACATCTTGGCCAGTCTGTAAGAATTTCTCTCACATTAAGTGTGGGCAGCAACAAATATTTGTTTAGAGAAAGAGTAACTGGAAGCCTTATGCTGGCTCCGCTCCAGCAATGAATCCATCATTACTTCATGGAACTGGCACACTCCCCACGATCTCTCATGGACCCCACCCTCTGGCCAGCAGGATCGTCTCTAGGGACCTCAATCAGAGATCCTGTAGTAAACAGCGCGAGTTATTCCCGTAACGCTAGCGGTGGTGGACCTGCCTCTGCCCTAGGGTGGGATACTCTGGGCTTGGATAAATGAAGACGACGTAAATGCAAACCACAACGCCAAGGTTTCCCGACATCATTTCCTCACAAGGAAAAAAAGCAGACTCAAAACCACCCCTCTGAAGATGCGGGTCTTCGGAACTCCAGGGTTACAGGGTAAGACAATCCGCCACACCCCACCTACGTTGGGCGCACTCCCTCGGAGCCGAGGCACCACGCCGCTCCTGCGCAGGTTGTAGGCTCCTCCCTCCAGGAGGCTCTTCCCCACCCTCCTCGGCTACTTCCGTCCGTCACCGAACGCCCTCAACGCGCTTGCGCCGTTTTGATAGGCCTCTCGGGTAGCAGAAATCTGAGCGCTGCCGCTCTGGAACCGCCCCCGCCTCCTCTTCGCCCCGCCCACGCTTTAACCGGCCCCTCCCGAAATCTCGCGAGGTTAGGTGCGCGTCCGTATTTTGCGGGCAACTGGCTCTCCCAGCTGCTGTAATTGCTGCTGCGGGAGAAATTGGAGCCGCTGTCGTCGGCGCGCCCGCCCTCCCCCACAGAGAGCCACCGCCTCTTCGCTCACTCTCCTTGTACACCTATCGCCGGGAGCGGCGGCTGCAACAGTCCCTGGACCCACCGCCACCTCCTCAGGCTGCCGCTTGACTGGTCGTTCCCGCAGCGCGGCAGCTGACGGCGGCCCCCTGCTCCTCACCGGCTCCTCACTCTAGATCGTCTCCTCCGTCCCTATCCTCGCCCGGGACCCACCTCCTCACGGTCTCGCCGGGGAGGAGGACGACAAGGAGGAGACGAAAGTCACCCTCCCTCCAGGCGGCGCCGGCCCCCTCACCCGCGGGTGTGTCCTATAAATGGCGTCGGAAAGCGACACCGAGGAATTCTTTGATGCTCCTGAAGATGTGCACCTAGGGGGCGGCTACCCTGTAGGGTAAGTAACTGGAGCTATGACCCAGAAGCCGGGCGCACCGGTCCCCCGGTTTCCCCTGTGCCTTCCCCCCGGCACCCCTCCCAGGTCTCGCTGTGTCCGCCACCGCTGCTTCTCTGTTCTCACTCCGGCACTACAGAGGGATTCGGGGGAGGGGGAACGGCCCACCTTGGCAAAACCTCCTCCTTTCCCTGGGGAGCGGTCCCTGGGGCTAAGGAGCCCCTTTCTTGTCTTGCCCTGCTTTCTTCGAGGTGGGACACCTTACGTGTCCGAGAGCCAGCGATTTGTATTTGTGAGGTTCAGCGTTTTACCTTCGAAACATCCGTTTTGGCCTTGGGGACCACAGAGCAGTAACAGAAGAAATTGCACTTCCCGCTGGTTCTCTTCTTTTGCCGCTAACTTACCTATTCGTTTCAAAGGTAGCTTTAATTATCCACCGTCCTCTTCGTTGTATAGAAAGAAAAGGAGCGGCAGAGGGAAAGGTTGGATATTTACTTAGGAAAGTCCTCTAGCTGATGTACCTAGATCAACAGTGTTTTACTAAAATAGCACCTCACCGTGAGGCAAAGGAAATCGAAGACACAGTCCTTACCATTAGGGAGAATGCCGTCTTAAAAGGATAGCCGGCCACAATTGTACATAACCAACTACAGAAATACAAGTGCTGAGTAATCTGGTCGTTGGAAGAGCCACAGCTTTGTGTTATTTATCTAATTCTGCAAGATGTTTTAATGATGATTAGTTTGAGAGATTCTGAGTAAGAAAGTGCAGTAGTTGGAATGCTTTGCTTGTCTGGGACTGCTTGACTGGGACTTCTACTTACTGACTCCTCCACTTTTGAAAGTTGAAACAGGATTTAAAGCTATTTTGCCGAACTCCTCTACGGAATTGGGTGGAAGTAGAGGCAGTGAAATATATTTTCATGCTGTAAGAACTCGAGAATTAGTGAAATTTGTATATTAATATAAGTAGACACTAATACGGTTACAGGAATTTAGCTGCCTTCAATTCCCAAATTTTCCCCATGGAAGAAACACTGCTTAATGCAAATAAAGTTATTTGTACTTTCTAGAAGTCATTCTAAAGCTTAATATATTTTATATATAACATATAGCAAAAAAGTTACAGCAGCAAAATCAGAAAGAAATGTATGTTGTAGATGGCAGATGTGTTTCCACCAGCCTTCCTATCACTATTACGAGATTTTTAGGTGGCAAGGGCCAATCTTGAGTAGGCACTGAGTCTCCTTCAAGTTCAGTATCTGAAACAAGTTCATAGCTAGATGGTAGAGGATTGAAAATACTTTTGGCGTTCCAAAATGTTTGGATTCCCTTGAAATTAAATTTTGTTTTTGTGGCTTTCCCCTTTGAACTGTCGATTTAGGTTGAATGATATACCTAATCGGTTAATGCTTTTGAGTGTGTGTGGAGTGGGGGAAGGAAATAACTATGTATATGATTGTAATCATTTTAGAAATATGTGAATATTGTTCCTTCTCAATGAACGAAACATTTAATTTTGAAGAACAGTTATATCAGGAGTTTATTTTGTCTAGTACTTGGCACAGAGAAAGAACCCAAATGTCCATTCCCTTGTCCTTTCCTGGAATTAACAAATTTAACTTCACACAGTGGTTACTTTGAGAGGAAGTATGCAGAACTTGGAGCTATTTAACTTATTTAAATCCAGTGAGTCATTTTGATAGAATTGATAGAATCACTTCTTGCCTCTTGGGATAATAGAGCTTCTCAAGTACTTTGATCCTTTGATAGTAGGTGAAAAGTAAAAACGTCTCTTGGGACCTAACCTTCTAATTTTAACTCTAACTTCTCCAAATATTAATGGTGTTGAACTCTATGGGTAAAGCTATAGTGTCAGTCTGTGAATTTCATGCCTCCCATCTGTATTAGTAGGGGGGATTTGGAAGAGAATTAGATTCATCCGGACAATTGCATCTGAAAAGAACTAGTAGTACTGGGAGGACTGAAAATGGTTGGCATCATTGATATTTCCTCTGTTGTGACAGGTTTTGTCTTTCGTGTAAGGTACCTTGAAGAGAAATGCAAATAGAAATCTTGATTTGTGGAAATAGATGGTATCACTAGATATCTGGTCATCAGAAATATCTTCTGTCCCTTGATTGAACTGCAGTGGCACACCATACAAACTCTTAAGAATTTAACAAACTGAGTTTGCAAACTTTAAGAAATTTTCCTTGCTGATGGGTGTACCACAGTACATAGATCATTTCATCAAATTGTAGTGAACCGGGCAGCCCCGGTGGCTCGGCGGTTTAGCGCCACCCTCATTCCGGGGTGTGATCCTGGAGACCCGGGATCGAGTCCCATGTCGGGCTCCCTGCATGGAGCCTCCTTCTCCCTCTGCCTGTGTCTCTGCTTCTCTCTCTCTCTCTCTGTGTCCCATGAATAAATAAAATAAAATCTTTAAAAAAGAAAAACAAATTGTAGTAAACTGATTCACAAGTGAAAGTTATTTCATATGTTTTGTTAATCAGAATCCAAATACACAGTCCATTTCCTGAAATTGATTTCTTCTGTTCCCTTCAGTGGTGTCTTCAGTTTTGTTGTTCTACTCTTTAGAGGCTAAAGATCAGCCCAGTTTCTAAATAGAAAGACTTCATTCCAGTACTGCCTACTTTTCCACAGTGGCAGATCTTCTCCAATTGCCCAGCTTTGCAATATTCACCACATATATTTATATTTTTTTAATTTAATTTTCGGTTTTTTAAGATTTTATTTATTTGTGAAAGAGAGAGAGGCAGAGACACAGGCAGAGGGAGAAGCAGGCTCCATGCCAGGAGCCTGATGTGGGACTTGATCCCAGATCACACCCTGGGCCAAAGGCAGGCGCCAAACCGCTGAGCCACCCAAGGATCCTGTATTTTTTTAATTTTCAGAAAGATTTTTATTATTTGAGAGAGAGAGCACAAGCAGGGGGAGCTGCAGAGGGAGAGGGGGAAACAGGCTCCCCACTGAGCAAAGAGCCCAACTTGGGCTTGATCCCAGGACCCTGGGATCCTGATCTGAGCTGAAGGCAGATGAATAACCAATTGAGCCACCCAAGCGCCCCTATAACACCACATTTATAATGCTTAATTTTGATTGATATTTTAGGTCATATTTCCTTGTTTTCTCCATTTTTATGTATGAGGAACCTTAGGCTCAGAGAGGTTAATGAATTGGCTTATGAAACACAGCTTGTAAGTGATAGAATTGGGATTTGAAGCCAGTTTTTCAGACTCCTAGTCCAGCATTTTTTTTCCAGTACATCATAGCTATGCCACACTGTGTGTGTGTGTAGAGATTCTGGAGTAGAATGCTTTAGGACCAGCTTGCTGAATTGAACTGATGCATCTATTTAAAACTGGCAGCCCACTTTTCAGTTCTCTTGGCTAGAAATTCCCACTCTTCTCTTTCAGGAATGTTTATTTTGTCAGATATGATTTTTTTTTTTGGTGGGCAGAAAGCAAAATTTATTGAGAGTACAAAGCTCCTGAAGAGGGAGGGGACCCAAGAGGGTTCCCTAAGATAGGGATTTAATAACATCATACCATGTTACAGCTAGAAGGGGCATCTAGTTAAATTTCTGCATATAAATTATTGTGGGGGCACCTGGGTAGCTCAGTCAGTTAAGTGCTTTCCGTTAAGTGTCTGCCTTGGGTTCAGGGTTTAGGACCCTGGTGGGATCAAGCCTGGCAGCCCCACATCTGACTCCCTGCTCAGCAGGGAGCCTGCTTCTCCCTCTGCTGCTCCCCCTGCTTGTTCTCTCTCACTCACTCTCTCTCTCTCTCTGCTAAATAAATAAATAAATAAATAAATAAATAAATAAGAAAACCAAATACATACATACATACATACATACATACATACATAAATAAATAAATAAATAAATAAATAAGAAAACCAAAGCCTAATGAGGGAAAGTGACTTGTCCAAGGTGCCGCAGCAAAGTAATGGCAATTAGGACTAGAATCCAGGTCAGTTTTGCAGTCTTTCATTCTTTTTGCTACTTTGCTATGTTTTGATAAAGCAGGAAAGGGAGGAGGAAGTGTGGTATAGTAGAAAAAGCCCTGGACTCTGAGTCATTTCATTTCCTCATCTTTAAATTGAGATTACAGCCTGAGAACTTCCAACTCTAAAAGTCTGTCATCGTGTTGAGGTTTAATAGTGTGCTTTTATTGGTAAACTTTTGTTCTTGGGAAATCTTTCCATGATTTTCAAGATGAATGCTCCTGCTAGTTGAATGGATCATACATACACACACTAAAGATGGACAGTAAGAACATGTTATAAAAATAAATGTGACATTTTGAGCATTCTTTATTTTTTAGTGGCAACCAAAATATTTTTGAGGCCTTGAAAGGATGGATAGAATGGTAACATTTTTAGGATAGGAAAGGATGAGAAATCATTCAATGCAGCCTTCTGATTTTTTAAATATATTTTATTTATTTATTCATGAGAGGCAGAGACATAAGCAGAGGGTGAAGCAGGCTCCATGCAGGAAACCTGACATGGGACTCGATCCTGGGACTCCAGGATCACGACCTGAGCCTAAGGCAGACGCTTAACTGCTGAGCTACCCAGGCGTCCCATACCCTCCCATTTAACTGAGAGAAACCTAGGTTTAGAGAGGGAAAGTCAACCCATTGCTGATTAGTGGCAGACTTGAAACTAGAACCCAGGTCTCCTGATTATTCATTTGTACCATGCTGCCTTGTCTGTGGAAGGAGGGAAAGTATTGGTAGCTATCCCTGCTCTAGGTTACTGGCACTTACCCTATTAGTGGGGTATTGAGATGGTCTCCTATCTACGGTGGTTCTGTTTTGTCATGCCCTGATGTCAGAGGACATGGACTGTTCTGTCTAGGATTCTAGCTTTTGCCCACTAATTTTCTCCAGATCAGGATAAAAACCGGTGGCAGAATAGTTGATCTAAGAACAGTGATTGTTATTCAGTTTAGTTTCAGGAGTCTAGTAGGAG